TATATATTGGGGCACACTTTTGGTCTGGGTTAGATGCATGGCCCATGGTTCTGCAGGGATTCCAGGATCGAGGTCTTGAATTGTCTGATTGTCTTCTATGAACTCTGTCACTATCCAGAGTCAAATGGAATAATTAGTGTGGACCGAATAACTTGCTCAACCAACATGCTTCACCTTGCAGTGTAATTACGGTTTCCTTCCCCGTTTTTCATTTGATGAACCCTAAATAACGTAACGGCAAAGTAATGCAATAGGCTGCTGCATAATTTTAAAAACATAACTATGAATGATTCAGACATGTGTTTATTAATCACGATTTTATGTGCAGCGAACTCGGATAAGCACTTACGAGTGGAAATGCATCAAAAATAAATAATAGCTCATAATCTTCTTAAAAAGCGTAAAAAGACGAGTCATTTGCTGTGATTTGTGCAACTTTTTATAAATCCTGAAGCGCTGACGGAGCTCATGGGGCTGCTTTTTAACGGGCTTATGCTTTATACGGGCTATATTCTCTGTGATTGCTAATCACTATCCTCCTTTCTTTTGTGTTGTGTGCAAGATCAGTATTCATAATTTGCAATTCATTGGTCAACACTTTTACATTGCTAGTAATCCAGTAGTACTCACTCGTAAGAGTGAGCGTAATTATTGCAATGATAATATTAATTGCAATAATCTTACCTGTAAAACCATAACACTATGAAAATCATGCCATTGAGTGGACTCTGCAGTTTGTGCTATGCCTTTTTAAGGAGCTGTAGCTGTTTAGCTAGCCTACCAGCAGCCCATAAACATAAACATGCACAGCACATATCTTTCTAATTGTCATAAGCCAACAAACAGGAATCTGTTACTGGTTTTCTTAGTGGTCCCGTGGTGTTTGGAAATTATTCATTTGAACCTCCTCGATCTTACCTAAAGCCAACCACTCCTACACATCCAACTCTTCCAAATTGATATATGACAATATCTACTTTCGATCACGTGTCTGCGGGGCGACTTAGACGGATTGCGCGTCATCTCGCCTTCCCAAATTTTCCCCTTCTGCTGCAGCTCCTATCCAAAACATCTATCTATAGTACGGAGCACGAGAGAGAGAGAAAGATGTTTAACTCGGTGAATCTGGGCAACTTCTGCTCCCAGACGCGCAAAGACCGGACATCCGAGTTTGGGGACAGGACGGGCTGTGCGTCCAATATCTACCTCCCCAGCTGCACCTACTACGTCCCCGAGTTTTCTGCCGTCTCCTCGTTTCTTCCACAGGCCCCGTCCAGACAAATCAGCTACCCCTATTCCACAAATCTGTCTCAAGTGCAGCCGGTACGGGAAGTTTCTTACGGCTTGGACCCTGCTAGTAAATGGCACCACAGAAGCAACTATGCGTCGTGCTACTCGGGAGAGGATCTGGTGCATAGAGACTGTCTTCCACCATCCACCATGACAGAAATGCTTATGAAGAACGAGAGTGTGTACAGCCACCACCATCACCATCACACCCATCCGGGCTCCAATCACCCTTCCACAGGTTTTTATTCCGGCGTGGGGAAAAACAATGTCCTCCCGCAAGGTTTCGATCGCTTTTTTGAGACGGCGTACTGCAGCAGCACGGACAATCAGTCAGACAATTGTTTACAAAAGGGTGAAGGGGAGAAGCTGGAAAGCGACTCCCAACAGCAGCAGCAACAGCAACAGCAGCCCACGGCGTCTGTACCCGGAGCCGCGGAGCAGGAAAAAGACCCAGAAGATGAGGAGGAACACACAAATTCAGGCTCATGTACGTCTTCCTCTGCAACAACCAAGGACGGCAACGCCAGCAAGAGCAGCCACTCGAGTAGGTATACCGAGCTGTAAAATGGGGGAAGGTTAAGGGGACTAACCCGGTGTTTTGTCGGTCAGATTTTATGTGGAGTTTTATAAGCATTCAAACGATTTTATTATAACCCTACAACGCTCTTTCTTGCAACGAGAAGAATTTTTACGATGGGAAAGCGCTTTGAAAAAAAGGGGATGTTATACACAGACGCCTCTATGGTGAGAGTCTGTGAAATTTTTAAGAGAGAGCTATTGTGACAAATGTTAACTTTGATCATGAACTTGCGTTGGGCATTTTAAGGGATTTTCTCGTTGGGCTGTCGAGAGTAAAAACCAATTGGGCAGAACATTGCTTTTGGCGTCTTGTGAATTTTCTTTTAGTACACGGTTTGCTCGCAAAACACATGCTGCGAAGAGTATTACACACTTTACGGTTAAATGCATCTATCTATCTATCTATCTATCTATCTATCTATCTATCTATCTATCTATCTATCTATCTATCTATCTATCTATCTATCTATCTATATCTGATAGATTAGAAGCGTTTCCTTCATTTACGAGCACACTTAATCGTGTTTTCCCTTGTATGTGGAGATTGCATAGGCTGCACATTATTCCACTTCCCCACAATCCGCTGAAAAAGCTTAAATTCATTAATGTGCATGTTTCCTTCCGCACATTAGGCTTCTTTTCTCCTATGATTTGTATGAGGTCGCCTGTCATTTCTATTAATGACTAACTTTATCTAAAGAAATAAAAAAAATAAAAAAATCTAAAAATGGATTTTATTTTTAAAAGGAAATTTTAGAGATTGGGTGCTTGTGTTCAGAACATATTTAGCCTCATGTGCATTGTTTTAGCTCAGCTAGGGAACAGACACAAGCTGAGACCGGTGTTTAGCCCTCTTTCACACACACATAAAAAACAATAAAAAACACACACATTTCCCTGGTCACCTGTTTGATAAGACGTTACAGGGCCACAGAGGTCTTGGTATGGCATTGCAGGCAAGGGCAGTGCATTTAAACCCACTGCCAAAAGATTGTGTAAATTGTTAGTTTAGCTCCAGGGGAATGTGGCGCACATAATGCGGTGAAATACTTTTGTTGTTGTATATTTATAACAGATAAACACGTACTTAAAGGCTGTAAGTTGATATTATTTACTCCAAGCGATTCGGATATTTAACACTCTTTATGGTTGGTTTATCTGATAGCTTCAGCCAGTTCACTAGATGAATGCTGACTGAAATGTTATCAGTACTAATGCCACTGAAACTGAATTCTTAGCATCTGGCGCCTCTTCAGCACTTAAGCTCGCTGTGACCCCCTTTAAAAACGCATTGCTGTTGTTGTTAATTAATGTAACGCCGCTGATCATTTTCCGTGGCAGCTCGACTTTATTTTGAATTTTATTTTTCACTTTTATTTCTTCTCCAGGCGCTCCTCGAACAAGGAAGAAGCGGTGTCCATATTCCAAGTTTCAGATTCGAGAGCTGGAGCGGGAATTCTTCTTTAACGTTTACATCAACAAAGAGAAAAGGCTTCAACTTTCCCGAATGTTAAACCTCACCGACCGCCAGGTTAAAATTTGGTTTCAGAATAGAAGAATGAAAGAGAAGAAGCTGAGCAGAGATCGCCTCCAGTACTTCTCTGGAAATCCCCTATTGTGAGCAGGAGCAGAGAGTGTCACAGTGTGGGACGGTGGCATTTAGGCCCCCTCTTATCTCACTGAGTTGTCACTGTGGGCATACCCATTTTCTAAGGCAGCCCACATCACCAACAGTGCAATGCTAAAGTGGACAGTGGCAGAAATAGGCCTGCATGGGATAAAAATCGCCATTTTCTTATAGCCCTACGGGCGGCGTTGAATTTCTAGCTGGTCCCCAGAAAAAGGCCTACACGATTAGAATAATCATTTATATGCTGTTCTTGAATATGTCCCTCTATTTATCATGATTCTTCATTGTGTTTATTCTATTGTTCACATATTTGTTAAAAACAATATGAAATATAACAAGCATTTTGAATCCTTTATTGCGCAGACAACTTTTAGCTCTCATCCCCAGCTCTGGTCTTTGTATATAGCTTATCCCCATCTAATTATTTCTTTACCGGAGTACGAGCAAATTATAGGAAATCTTTAATTCAGCTGCATATTTCGCCATTGAGAACTGTGACGTCCAATCTGTGAAAAAAAAAAGTATATCCAACTGTACAGAGTAGCCTATGCAATGTGCTATCATGACTGTAAATAACCGTATGTTGAATTTCCTTTCCGCTATCCCTGCTGCTATTTTTCAGTACAGTGCCCATTCAACTCTAACAGCTTTAACGCCAACACTTGTTAAATTATTTGCTTAAAGCGTTGCTGCTTTCGATTCCAGAGAGCAGATTGTCGGCCTGTGTATCATTAACATAATACCTATGAAATAAACAGAAAATCTATAGGCAAATCACAATGACTTTGTGCTGTTTGTCTTTTTAATTACTACCCTTACCAGTGGTTCTGTGTGCATTTATTTGTTACTTTGTGTTGGTCGTGAGTCAAAACCTTTTGGAAATACCAACTGCTCATAAATGCGTGTATAACCTAACGCTGCTGGCTTGCACACATAACATGTGCACACTTTAAACCTCTGTTAAATGCCAGTTCACGAGTCTACACGCATTTGGTGCGGTGGATTTGGTGTCGATTGGGGAAAATAAGGAATAGTGGCTACACAATTTTAAGGTTACATCGGTGTAAAAAGGATTATGTTTGAATTTTAGCACAACTGTTAAAAAAAAGAAAAGAAAAGAGAGGTGAAGCTCAGATCTTAGAAATGTAGAGAAGAAGGGTTCAATGATAACCTCTTTTAGTGCCCACTAAATGGAATCGCCACTCTTGTAGTCTAGACACTGCCATAAAGACACAGGCACTAAATGCCTATTTTTTCTCTTAATTGCACCGTCTGTTCGGGGGAAATGGCGTTCACTTCCGCAGTAAATAGTAAACAAGCAGGACTACATGTCCGAGGAACGTTGCAAAGAGGTTTCGACATGAGACAGACATAGACCGACTGTGTCTGTCTATATATATAT